TGACCAGAAACCATACACATTAAACAAAACAAGAGGATCAACCATTGGCATAACATTTTTTAGCCTCCAATATTTTCTTTGTTTGTGCAATATCTGCTTCAATATTACATTTATATACCCTACGGGAAGATGTTAGTTTAAAGAAAATGATGGGAAAATAAATAGTAGAAAGTAAGGCAGCATACCTGGACACCGTCACTTCTTTGTTTCCGGCGTTTTTGGGCAGCCTGTACTTGCAATTGGAGTTCCCGTACAGCATTGAGTAAGTCAGCAAAGAATTTCCTTTTACTAGTTTCTACACGGTTCCTCTCTTCTTCCTCTAATCTTGACAACCTCTGCAACAGATATATTGAAGATATTTGCAGTTCAATTAATATTGTTTCCCCTCAGCAGTTAAATACATGTCATTTCTCAGCTATGAGTCTAGAAAGAGAAAGTTGCAGGATTCATTCATATCTGCCAACCAATGAACAGTCGCTAGCAGAAAACCTACTCACCTCAGCATCTCGTTTTTTCTTCAGGGCATCATCAGCTTCCATAGCGAAAGCATCTCCAATACCATATAAAGGACGGCGCAATCGCATCATTCCCCAATCAAACAACTGCTTATCTGGATTTGCACAATGCAGACGAAGCCAATATTCAGAAATCACTTCTGACCGCACTTTGCTCTGTAGCTCAGCTAACTGATAGGGAAAAAAAGTCATTCAATTATGATAAACAGCAATATAAACCACTAATATCTGACATATAGGTGAAGAGGGCGGCATTAAAAAGGTGCTTCTGTGTGTTAATGTTTCATGGAACAAGAAATGATACGCTCCTTCTCAACAAGTTGTGATGGTAAACAAAAAAAACAAAAAAAAAAAAAAAAAAAAAAAAAAAAAAAAAAAAACCCTATTCCAAAACACATTTTCCCACAAAAATGGGTCTCAAACAGGGGTTTATTGTCACGAAATACATCCACCTTCTCCATTTCATTTAAATTTAATGATTATGGTGGACCTAGTCACAATTAATATAAATTCATGCACAGTAAACAATTAAACGCTACCTTAAGCCCGTAGAGTTCAACCAAGCACCTAGACTGGAGGTCCTCACCTCTGCTTGTTGGCAATCCTGTTTCAAAATGAAAGCACGAAAAATCATTCACAAAGAAGTATGGCATAACTCCAAAATAAGTTAAAGAGATGCATCAAAACAGTTATTAGGCACATCCTTGAAGTATAGTATGCTATTTTAGGATAATAATTGTCTATTGCAGAAGAACAGCATTTATGGAACTGAATAGGGTATATACATATGTATATAAATAACTGTGATCATGCTTGCATCCCTACCCAAGTCAGCATCCCAATATACCCACCATCAGCTACAGGATAGACAACAACAAACAAATTCTCACTTTAAATGTGTCTTTCAATAAAAAAATTACGGTAAAACCATATGAGTGACTTGTTTTTCAACCATCCAGGAGGGGTTTGAAGGTATAAACAGAAAACAAGATAGATTTTCAAGTCAATAATTGTTCGATATAAGGCCTAGCTTGTTGTCGCTGCTGTACTCCTAAAAACAAGAACCATATTGGAAGTTCATTTTCCAATCATCCTGGTTTTCAACACAAAAACAGGGAGAGGATAGAGTAAATCAAGTGATTATCATTAAAATAATGATGATCAAATGATTGTATAAAATGTGAAAACAAGTCTAAAATCGTACTGTCATTGAAAGGTAAAACTCTTATTGTTCAAAGTAGCCGAGGATATCTTTTTTAGGAAAAGAAGGGAATACGAAACAAAAAAAGAATGAAGTAACGAGGGTTTGGATATACACAATTATATTAGGCGATTTAAGTCAAAATACACTGCATACGAAGATAAATTTACCACCAAAAAATGGAAAAATATCCATACGAAAGACCTTTGAAAAGCTAAAGGAAGATTAAGAATACACGCAAGGCGGTGGTAAATAACAAAAAGAAATTGAGCAAAACAAATTACAAGGTCAAACAACATTGCTCTGATGAGTGCTTTTAGGAAATTTTTCCACAATGTGCAATATAAGATAGAGAGGTTCAGGACTTCAATATCATGAGAAACTGCACAACCATACAAATTGGGCCTTAAGTCATGCAGCAGAATTAATTTATTTGCAAAACAATGTCTAGGATAGAATTACTCATGAAAATAGCTACCTTCAAGTTCGGCTAACCGGTGCTGGATTTGGCTTTGAAAGCGGTTTTCCTTTAACTCGTTTAATCTAGAACCAGACATGCAAGATTGTTGCTTTAACACGGCATCCTCGAAGTCCAACATTAAATCATTGTAACTTGAACCACCAGAACCATCCTGTATCACATTGTTGTTACAAATCCAATTTTGATATGAAGCAAAAGTGGAAATCCAGTAAGGAAAAGAAAAATGGAGTTTAGAATAATATTACAAAACCAAATTACTTTCTGTATTGTAAATAATTATAGACTAGATGGTAAATGCAAGGAAATAGGGCAACCCAATATTAAGAACAATGAGATAATTAAAAAAGAAAAAATATATTTGAGAAATATGGTTTAACCACTGATATGGTCCAAACAGAGAAAAGTACAAGAGGGCCACATAGCAACACAGATGATAAATTACTTAATAAAAGTTGTGCAGAGATACTACTTAGAAGGATTGGAAAGAAAAGTTTCATTACATATATATGGCTACGGGTCAAGATGGTAATTTTACTTACATCTCCCTCTCTCATGTGATATACACAATCAATTCTCGATATGGATAAATACTTGTACAACTTATTCCTGACGTCTGAATTATTCTTTGGTCAAAATTTGTCCGAACACAACAATGACAAACAACAAGTTGAGCCTTATGAACAATAAATATGGAATCTGGAACATGAATCCTTTTGTTCCACTCTATTTGTTTCATTCCTCTTGTGCCACTACTAGATACTTAGAAACTACAACAAGCCACGTTAGCCTTGGTCTCGGGTACATGAATCATTTTGTTCCATTCTGTTTGTTTCATTCCATTGGGGGGCTACTACTATATACTTAACAACTACAACAGGCCACGTTAGCCTTGGTCCATAACTCCCTCTTCTCAGCACTCACTTAGACATGAGATTCTTTAGTTTATGTGCAAATGGAACTAAGAAAAAAATTCTCACTTCCCAGAGCACCGCTGTTATAAATATTAATACCCAGATGCAAGTATAAAAAGGGCATATAGGGAACAAAGCCATTACATCAAACTGAAATATTCAAATGATAAAAATGTTTCTTGTTATCCGGGGAAATACAGAATCCAAAAATCAATTCAAACATTTAAGAGCCAAAATTAATAAAACTATGTCTTTATTCCTGGAAAATGAAATAGAAACATTTATACAAATTTAAGGATTACAAAGCAAAAATCATCGAATTTCAGTGTAAAAACTGTAAGTTAAAAATCACAAATTTAAATTTACTAGAACTTGAGGCATAGTAATTGTGCATGCGTGATATTCTATTGATCTGGTTCAGACAGTTTCCTGAAAGCAGGAATGGACAAAATTTCCTTATGTTGCTCTAGCGCAAGAGCAATGCAATCAATTGATTCTCAAGCAATGGATTCGTCGAAAACAACCTATTTGTCCACTTGCTTTCAGCACTAAACCTATTCTTGCACAAACCAAGCTTGAACTTAGGAGTGAAATAATCCTCGTAGTTGGGACTTTCCGTGTATTTGACTTTTTAGCATATTCTGGAGTCTCCAAAGAAATTCAGTTCTGAGTATACGAGGTAAAATCTTTCAACAGCTACTCAGTGGTCAATCCTTTTAAGAGTCGGCCCTACCCAACCACTATTGGATAGATACAGCTAGATCTCAATGTTAGAGAATGTCGGGTTATCAAATACGGCTGTTTATTACAAATCAAGTTCAATCAATAACCAATGTACACGTAGTACATCTAGATATTTTTGTTCGTGTAACACCAACGAACTCTCACAATAATGAATTGAAAACCAACCACAAAACAAATTTGAATATAAAAAGAAACAAAATCTAGAAAAAGTTAAAAGCTTTCAATTTGTCCCAATCCCACTTTTCTCTTTGCCGCCGCAATTAACTTAAGAGAATATTTGTTCTTTTTTTTTCTTTAACAGAAAATCAATCTCACTGGTCAAGTTTCTTAAAATGAGGAGCTTAGTCAACGTTTCTACTCGTATATGCTGCTTATACCATTTCGAGCAGAATATCCAGATCTCAATCATCCATAGCATTAATGCACATAACTGAGAAATATCTCACACTCCCGAAGCATTAGATCAAAACAAATACATCGATAATCACAATTTCAAAGGAATGAATTAGATATACTCCTAAACCCATGATAGTCCAAAATCAGAAAGAAACAAAGATTCCGGAACACTTTACTCCCAACAAATTGCTTCAATTACTAAACCTAATAACAAAACTCAGAACTTCAAAAAGAAAGAAGGAAGCAGCTCAAAGCTAAAATCTCTCTCTCACAATATATAATTAGAACCAAATAGACTCGATTACAAAACCAACTGCCAAATTCAAGAACCCAAAAAAAAGAAAAAAAGGATCAAGAAAGAACAAGAAAATTGAAGCTGAAACCTTGATTTCTCTATATTAAGTTTACATGAAAATAAAATCAAACAAACTAAAAACACTTCTAAATCTACTAACAACATAAAATAAAATAAAATAAAACAACTCACCATTCTCCGTGGAGTAGTAATCTCATCCATCTGGAGACCTTCCACGGAGGATTCAACTCCAACCTCAGCCCTTTCGATGACGTCATCGACCAAAACGCCATCACCGCTTCCATCGTCGGCGGCACAAAGGTAAATAGAGGAAACGGCGTCGTAGACATGTTGGGGCAAGGGCAAATTCCGGGAGAGAAAATTGAGGGCACAGATCAAGGTTTTGGTGCTATCCAAATTGGAATAAACAATAAGAAAGTGTGAAATTTTTGTTAAAGTAACCTCCTAAATGGAAAATTGAGTAGTACATTACACCCGAGACAATTATCATCCACATCATTGGCATACAACAATTTAATGGTCCAAAAATCAAGTAGATATGTCAACCGCATCATTTTATCTCAGGGTAAAATTGCACCATTGGGACCTCGCCTGTAATTATAATTGCACAATCAGTCCCTAATGACAGAAACCTTCAAATATCTGTTTAATCGTCATGTGAACCACATGTCCAACTCCATGAAGCTAGGTTTAACTTCCCAACTTGGGCTGGTGGGCAGAAATTTGAAGTAAGGTATGTTTCCAATGAGGGTCAACCAACAATTTAATGAAGATTTGGACAGTTTTCGTCATTAAGGACTAATGGTACAAAATGTACAGAAAGTTTGGTGACCAACTTCCCCCTTTTTAAAGGTTGGGGGAGAATAGGTAAAAAACAATGGTGCAAGTTTCCCTTAAATCTTCGTGATGGAGATGATCTGCAAAATATGATAGACCCATTTGTCAATTCTAGACCAATCTCTATTCAACCAGCTCCACTCGTTTCATATCTTTAAACCAATTTTCCATTCTCAATAGGAGGTAAAATGAGAGTACAGATCTTCACAAGTGACGAACCTGTGGAAGTTGTATTGAACAATCCTGCCTGGATGACCTTGGCATCAATGCCCATTTTCTGCTTGGCTCGTTCTAAGATAACCTCTTCAATTGATCCAACACTGACCAGCACAAAAACTGCCACCTCCTTCTTCTGACCAATGCGATGCGCTCTATCCTCAGCCTGTTGGTCCATCTGAGGATTCCAGTCGCTGTCAAAAATTATCACGGTATCTGCAGTCTGCAAATTCAGACCAAGTCCTCCAGCACGTGTGCTTAGAAGAAATATGAAGTAAGGAGAGTCTGGAGCATTAAATTTTTTTAGCAATTCCCCTCTGTCTTCAGTTTTTGTTGAGCCATCAAGTCTAAGAAACTTGTAACCATGTAATTCCAGATAATATCCAAGAATGGTCATGAGCCGCGTCATTTGAGAGAAAAGGAGGACTCTATGCCCAGCTTTACGAAGCTTGGGTAGTAAGCGATCAAGAAGCTCAAACTTTCCAGATGATCTGAAAATCTCCTCTTTACGCAGCATATTATAATCACCCAAAAATAAGTATGGGTGGTTACAACATTTGCGGAGCTGCATTGTCAGGTTCTGTAGGCTTTTGGACTTCCCAGTTCCTGCAAATTCACACCATCAGCAATGAAATTCACCTATAAGAAAAAGGTAATAGCCCCCAGAGAGGAAAGTGCTGTGTCCCAGCATAGGTGGACAGATTGTATAGTTCATGCTATTGCAAACTCATCTAACCAAAAAAGGAAAGAAAAAGGTTCAAAAACAACATTTTTTCTTATCCTCCTTTTATGGGAAAGCGTGGAAGGTGAGAAAACCAAGAGAATCGAATGGACATAACAGAAAAAAACAAACACATGCATCAGATAGCAGCGTAGATTGGTAAACATAAAAATTGAGAGAACATTGTGTGAGTGTAGATTGACATTACAGTTTGTGTTAGTAATGAGACGGACTATTGGAGCACCTTTGTTTCTTACAAGAAATGAAGCCAATAAATAACACGCAGCATTTTCTTGGTCCATAACAATGTATGGCGGACTGATTAACACATATATTCATTTTTATTTAAAATTATAAGAACATTTTTATTTAAAATTATAAGAAAGCACAAGTCTACCAATACTCTTTTTATTTTCCAGGAATACAAGTATTTACTGCTAACCAGACTTTTATTTTTATAATGATTATACTTGCCAATGGAACAACAGATGACCCTTTGGTCAAGTATTTCAATATAGTATGGAAGACATCATTTTTAACACTGTTAAGAAGAATTACATTTTGTACTCTGATGGACACAGGCTGCATTGTGAAATCAATGCTAGGTCTTGAAAAACACTTGTACTATATGAGTAATATTAATAATCATTAGACTTACAGGTATTGTAAATAAATCCTGCCTCATTTATATAAACAAAACAAAATATATTAAACTGATAACAACGATGACTGGACAGGGTGTGATAGAAGTAGGGAGAAAGTATAACGGATGCAAGACAGTTATGATGATGGACATGATATTGCATCAAGACAAAAAGTTATAACAGTAAAACAATCCCGAGACAAGCCATTGTGGGAGATAAAATAATACCACAGTGAGAGACAAAGAGAGAGGCAGCAGCCAATTGAAAACTACTTACCACTAGCCAATCCAACCCTTCCCACATCTGTCACTTGCTGATAATATAGTTTCTGCCAGGCAGACATGTCACATTTAAGTATGACTTGGCGTTTAATTGGAAGGTACTTCTCCACCTCATCTTTCTTCCTCCTCAATATGAATGGCCTTATGACCTGGGGGTATATTAGAAAGAAAGGGAAAGGAAGAAAAACGTTCACATTAGAAAGTCAAATAGTATAACAGACAACACACCAAAAAACCAATACCTACATGGTGCAATCGCCGAATGACTAATAGTTGTTCTTCATCCGTCAAACTGACATCACATTTGTCCGCAAAGGGTGCATTAAACCACTCCTCAAAGTTTTCAACTGAATTAAATATAGTAGGAAGGAGAAAATTAAGCAGGGACCATAATTCCTGCAAGCTATTCTGTATGGGAGTACCAGTCAACAGTAGTCTCCGCCGAATTCGATAACTGTCCAGATGAAGAATCATTTAGAAAATCATTTCCTTTTGAAATTAATCATGATATTTGATGCTGCTATGCAATTGAAGGATATTGAATAATTGGGTCAGGGTCAAATTAAATAGGTTACATCTTTGATATTAAAAAAACAAAAAATTGTCTTTAAAATAATTCAGCAAGGAAAAAAATCCACAATCTCTTTGATTAGGCAAACATACTCAATAGGCATAACTTGCAAAAGTAAACTCTTATGATACTTGTGGGTGCATTCACCATCGGTCACAAGATAATTGGAAAACAAATAGCAGAAGCCATCCAAAAGATCTAGCACAATCGTTTAAAGGATGAGGCTTGAGAATAAGGTGGTTGCTGCAATTTCAATCAAGAGATGGAGATGCAACATACCCAGAGACAAGAGTCCGTGCAAGAACACAGTCATAATTTTTAAGTCGATGTCCTTCGTCAACAATCAGGTAGTACCAGTGAATTTTCTTCAAGAATGCTTTGTCTCTAATAATCAGATCATAATGGGTGATCAAAACATTGAACTTTCCCTCTCCTGAATACTCTTCTCTCATTGCCTTTCTTTCATCCAGTCGCCCATCATAAAGAACTGCAGCAACACTGAAAGCAGAGTCTCTGAGCACTTGTGCATTTATACAGAAACTAGTCGTAAAGGGGTCGGGGGCAGGGAGGATGGTGGGAAAATGCATACCTAGGAGCCCAAGTTGAAAATTCATTCATCCAATTTGGTAGGACAGCCTTTGGGGCCACAATCAAGTGGGGCCCAGTAACACCTTTGTTTTCGATGAGATAAGCAATCAGAGATATTGTCTGAATTGTCTTCCCCAACCCCATTTCATCAGCTAAAATTCCATTTAAATTGTTATTGAACAAAGACAACATCCATTGAAGCCCCTCCAACTGATATGGTCTTAACTCACCACCTTGAAGCATAGCTGGTTGCTCAGTCACCTACAAAGATTCTTGTAAGGTTCGATCAGATATAAATAAAATAAGTACTATATGAACTAGAATAGTATATCCAATTACACAATATTTTCACAATATCATGAACTAGCAAAAAAAAGATGCGGCCAAACTTTTGGCCATCCAAGACATGTTATGATGCTTAAGATCCAGAAAATACCATTGCAGTTGGTATAGAGGGATAACAAGAGAGTTTGTAAATTTTCCCCTGCACTTTGGCTCCATTTGAATGAAATGAAAATTATATAGGAAAGTGTTCATAAGGAGCCAGAAAAGGCAGGACATATTTTGTTGCAACAAAGTACTTCTCATGATACTTGTACTCAACCAACACAAGGAAATTAAAAATACTTTCTTTCAATTTCCTTTTTTGCTATACAAACAATAATTCCCTCCCTCCGTCCCTCCCTCTGCGCATTTGCATGCACAATAATCCATTCATTTCAGGACATTAGCAAATTGATGCAAAAGCAGTAAGCCAAAACTCATAAATTTCAATAAAATTATGAAGATAGTAATAGAATACCTTCTCCTCAATAGAATGTACAGCAGAATTGTACTTTCGCTGGCCTTCAAGTAAATCACCTGTCTTCACTTGACGATCAGAATCATTATCAACATCTTCATCTTCCTCTGGAGGTGACTGCCCTGGCGTGTCAGTCCTTGAACCAGATAACTCAAGCAAGTCAGCGTCTGAATTTTGGAGGGCTTCAATGCCGTCATGTTCAGCATCTTTTTGACGTTGGACAGCAGCACCCAATCGACCTAGGAGCTCATTCGTTTTTCCTAGAAGCATTGTCAATCTTTCATTTTTGCTCTCTTCAACCATTTTCATGTAAGCTTCTTGATCATCAGCTTTTAGAGCTTGGAACCTCAATTTCTCAGCCCGCGTAGCTCGCTGCCTTTGCCTTCCATGCCAAGCCTGTAAAAGTAAGAATAAATTGAATCTTATCCTAGAATGTAACTTCTAATCTTCTATGATCTATCATACATAAAAAAATCACAGGGTTACAATAAGCCAAGGGCACCAAGGACCCATGTGTGACATGGATGGAAACTGCAAGGTTCAGTAGTTTCTCTAATTGATCAGATGCAAGGTAGAACTCAAGAATTACGAGACCAAAGTGGATAACTCCACTGACAGTATAACACAAAATGTGGCTTAACCTCTTAAAAATAAAAACTCATTCAAATAACATGCCATTTATTTGGAGTAATAATGAGTAATAGGCTTAACCACTTAACACTAATGACCAGAAACCATACACATTAAACAAAACAAGAGGATCAACCATTGGCATAACATTTTTTAGCCTCCAATATTTTCTTTGTTTGTGCAATATCTGCTTCAATATTACATTTATATACCCTACGGGAAGATGTTAGTTTAAAGAAAATGATGGGAAAATAAATAGTAGAAAGTAAGGCAGCATACCTGGACACCGTCACTTCTTTGTTTCCGGCGTTTTTGGGCAGCCTGTACTTGCAATTGGAGTTCCCGTACAGCATTGAGTAAGTCAGCAAAGAATTTCCTTTTACTAGTTTCTACACGGTTCCTCTCTTCTTCCTCTAATCTTGACAACCTCTGCAACAGATATATTGAAGATATTTGCAGTTCAATTAATATTGTTTCCCCTCAGCAGTTAAATACATGTCATTTCTCAGCTATGAGTCTAGAAAGAGAAAGTTGCAGGATTCATTCATATCTGCCAACCAATGAACAGTCGCTAGCAGAAAACCTACTCACCTCAGCATCTCGTTTTTTCTTCAGGGCATCATCAGCTTCCATAGCGAAAGCATCTCCAATACCATATAAAGGACGGCGCAATCGCATCATTCCCCAATCAAACAACTGCTTATCTGGATTTGCACAATGCAGACGAAGCCAATATTCAGAAATCACTTCTGACCGCACTTTGCTCTGTAGCTCAGCTAACTGATAGGGAAAAAAAGTCATTCAATTATGATAAACAGCAATATAAACCACTAATATCTGACATATAGGTGAAGAGGGCGGCATTAAAAAGGTGCTTCTGTGTGTTAATGTTTCATGGAACAAGAAATGATACACTCCTTCTCAACAAGTTGTGATGGATTAAATGAGATGCAGTCAGCCTGCAAACAGATTTTCCCCTTCAACTTGTATGCATACAGGAACCAATTAGCAATGACAAATCGGTGTTGCATTAGTTTCACAGCATCTGGTTTTCTATTAGAGGTCCGAGTTGCAAATTAATCGGAAAAAATAATAATAATAATAATAATAAATAAAAAATAATCATAAGCATGATAATATTTTTGGGCCAAAAAAGAACAACCACAAACATCTACTTTACTCGAAAAAGATAATGCTATGTTACAAATGGAGTTCTACTCGCAAGACTTTGCTCATGGTAGACAGATTTTCAGGACAGCAATTAGCCACTGTTTGACCCCCATTTTTTTCAAAACCCGCTTTTTCAAAATTCATTTTCAACCATGCATTCTCCCATAAAATAATTTTACACGTAAAAACAAAAATTTTCATTATTTTTTAACCACATATTCCCAAAAAAAAAAAAAAAAAAAAATCAAAACATCATTTTCTCAAAATAATGACCATCAAACCGGAGCTAAATTGATAGCATGCATTGCATTGGAATGAATACTTAAGTATATGATCCACTAATTCTGAAATCCGTTTCTAAAAAAAAAAAAAAAAAAAAAAAAAAAAAAAAAAAAAAAACCCTATTCCAAAACACATTTTCCCACAAAAATGGGTCTCAAACAGGGGTTTATTGTCACGAAATACATCCACCTTCTCCATTTCATTTAAATTTAATGATTATGGTGGACCTAGTCACAATTAATATAAATTCATGCACAGTAAACAATTAAACGCTACCTTAAGCCCGTAGAGTTCAACCAAGCACCTAGACTGGAGGTCCTCACCTCTGCTTGTTGGCAATCCTGTTTCAAAATGAAAGCACGAAAAATCATTCACAAAGAAGTATGGCATAACTCCAAAATAAGTTAAAGAGATGCATCAAAACAGTTATTAGGCACATCCTTGAAGTATAGTATGCTATTTTAGGATAATAATTGTCTATTGCAGAAGAACAGCATTTATGGAACTGAATAGGGTATATACATATGTATATAAATAACTGTGATCATGCTTGCATCCCTACCCAAGTCAGCATCCCAATATACCCACCATCAGCTACAGGATAGACAACAACAAACAAATTCTCACTTTAAATGTGTCTTTCAATAAAAAAATTACGGTAAAACCATATGAGTGACTTGTTTTTCAACCATCCAGGAGGGGCTTGAAGGTATAAACAGAAAACAAGACAGATTTTCAAGTCAATAATTGTTCGATATAAGGCCTAGCTTGTTGTCGCTGCTGTACTCCTAAAAACAAGAACCATATTGGAAGTTCATTTTCCAATCATCCTGGTTTTCAACACAAAAACAGGGAGAGGATAGAGTAAATCAAGTGATTATCATTAAAATAATGATGATCAAATGATTGTATAAAATGTGAAAACAAGTCTAAAATCGTACTGTCATTGAAAGGTAAAACTCTTATTGTTCAAAGTAGCCGAGGATATCTTTTTTAGGAAAAGAAGGGAATACGAAACAAAAAAAGAATGAAGTAACGAGGGTTTGGATATACACAATTATATTAGGCGATTTAAGTCAAAATACACTGCATACGAAGATAAATTTACCACCAAAAAATGGAAAAATATCCATACGAAAGACCTTTGAAAAGCTAAAGGAAGATTAAGAATACACGCAAGGCGGTGGTAAATAACAAAAAGAAATTGAGCAAAACAAATTACAAGGTCAAACAACATTGCTCTGATGAGTGCTTTTAGGAAATTTTTCCACAATGTGCAATATAAGATAGAGAGGTTCAGGACTTCAATATCATGAGAAACTGCACAACCATACAAATTGGGCCTTAAGTCATGCAGCAGAATTAATTTATTTGCAAAACAATGTCTAGGATAGAATTACTCATGAAAATAGCTACCTTCAAGTTCGGCTAACCGGTGCTGGATTTGGCTTTGAAAGCGGTTTTCCTTTAACTCGTTTAATCTAGAACCAGACATGCAAGATTGTTGCTTTAACACGGCATCCTCGAAGTCCAACATTAAATCATTGTAACTTGAACCACCAGAACCATCCTGTATCACATTGTTGTTACAAATCCAATTTTGATATGAAGCAAAAGTGGAAATCCAGTAAGGAAAAGAAAAATGGAGTTTAGAATAATATTACAAAACCAAATTACTTTCTGTATTGTAAATAATTATAGACTAGATGGTAAATGCAAGGAAATAGGGCAACCCAATATTAAGAACAATGAGATAATTAAAAAAGAAAAAATATATTTGAGAAATATGGTTTAACCACTGATATGGTCCAAACAGAGAAAAGTACAAGAGGGCCACATAGCAACACAGATGATAAATTACTTAATAAAAGTTGTGCAGAGATACTACTTAGAAGGATTGGAAAGAAAAGTTTCATTACATATATATGGCTACGGGTCAAGATGGTAATTTTACTTACATCTCCCTCTCTCATGTGATATACACAATCAATTCTCGATATGGATAAATACTTGTACAACTTATTCCTGACGTCTGAATTATTCTTTGGTCAAAATTTGTCCGAACACAACAATGACAAACAACAAGTTGAGCCTTATGAACAATAAATATGGAATCTGGAACATGAATCCTTTTGTTCCACTCTATTTGTTTCATTCCTCTTGTGCCACTACTAGATACTTAGAAACTACAACAAGCCACGTTAGCCTTGGTCTCGGGTACATGAATCATTTTGTTCCATTCTGTTTGTTTCATTCCATTGGGGGGCTACTACTATATACTTAACAACTACAACAGGCCACGTTAGCCTTGGTCCATAACTCCCTCTTCTCAGCACTCACTTAGACATGAGATTCTTTAGTTTATGTGCAAATGGAACTAAGAAAAAAATTCTCACTTCCCAGAGCACCGCTGTTATAAATATTAATACCCAGATGCAAGTATAAAAAGGGCATATAGGGAACAAAGCCATTACATCAAACTGAAATATTCAAATGATAAAAATGTTTCTTGTTATCCGGGGAAATACAGAATCCAAAAATCAATTCAAACATTTAAGAGCCAAAATTAATAAAACTATGTCTTTATTCCTGGAAAATGAAATAGAAACATTTATACAAATTTAAGGATTACAAAGCAAAAATCATCGAATTTCAGTGTAAAAACTGTAAGTTAAAAATCACAAATTTAAATTTACTAGAACTTGAGGCATAGTAATTGTGCATGCGTGATATTCTATTGATCTGGTTCAGACAGTTTCCTGAAAGCAGGAATGGACAAAATTTCCTTATGTTGCTCTAGCGCAAGAGCAATGCAATCAATTGATTCTCAAGCAATGGATTCGTCGAAAACAACCTATTTGTCCACTTGCTTTCAGCACTAAACCTATTCTTGCACAAACCAAGCTTGAACTTAGGAGTGAAATAATCCTCGTAGTTGGGACTTTCCGTGTATTTGACTTTTTAGCATATTCTGGAGTCTCCAAAGAAATTCAGTTCTGAGTATACGAGGTAAAATCTTTCAACAGCTACTCAGTGGTCAATCCTTTTAAGAGTCGGCCCTACCCAACCACTATTGGATAGATACAGCTAGATCTCAATGTTAGAGAATGTCGGGTTATCAAATACGGCTGTTTATTACAAATCAAGTTCAATCAATAACCAATGTACACGTAGTACATCTAGATATTTTTGTTCGTGTAACACCAACGAACTCTCACAATAATGAATTGAAAACCAACCACAAAACAAATTTGAATATAAAAAGAAACAAAATCTAGAAAAAGTTAAAAACTTTCAATTTGTCCCAATCCCACTTTTCTCTTTGCCGCCGCAATTAACTTAAGAGAATATTTGTTCTTTTTTTTTCTTTAACAGAAAATCAATCTCACTGGTCAAGTTTCTTAAAATGAGGAGCTTAGTCAACGTTTCTACTCGTATATGCTGCTTATACCATTTCGAGCAGAATATCCAGATCTCAATCATCCATAGCATTAATGCACATAACTGAGAAATATCTCACACTCCCAAAGCATTAGATCAAAACAAATACATCGATAATCACAATTTCAAAGGAATGAATTAGATATACTCCTAAACCCATGATAGTCCAAAATCAGAAAGAAACAAAGATTCCGGAACACTTTACTCCCAACAAATTGCTTCAATTACTAAACCTAATAACAAAACTCAGAACTTCAAAAAGAAAGAAGGAAGCAGCTCAAAGCTAAAATCTCTCTCTCACAATATATAATTAGAACCAAATAGACTCGATTACAAAACCAACTGCCAAATTCAAGAACCCAAAAAAAAAAAAAAAGGATCAAGAAAGAATAAGAAAATTGAAGCTGAAACCTTGATTTCTCTATATTAAGTTTACATGAAAATAAAATCAAACAAACTAAAAACACTTCTAAATCTACTAACAACATAAAATAAAATAAAACAACTCACCATTCTCCGTGGAGTAGTAATCTCATCCTTCTGGAGACCTTCCACGGAGGATTCAACTCCAACCTCAGCCCTTTCGATGACGTCATCGACCAAAACGCCATCACCGCCTCCATCGTCGGCGGCACAAAGGTAAATAGAGGAAACGGCGTCGTAGACATGTTGGGGCAAGGGCAAATTCCGGGAGAGAAAATTGAGGGCACAGATCAAGGTTTTGGTGCTATCCAAATTGGAATCTGAGTGCCGGTCGGGTTCTTCCGGGTCGAGCCCATTTTGCTGGGGGAGAGAAGGAGCGGAGGAGGTGTGGGGCTCTGCTACCTGGGCTACCATGGCGGGAAGAAGAAGAGCACTAAAACGGCGCCGTAAACTTAAATTATAAGCAGATTTTAACAGATTATTTGTAAAATCTTAAAATTAAGTAATTATTTTGCGATGTTTTGATTAGAAGTTCTCTTTCAGTGCTTTTGGGTTTGGGGGCAGGGCTAGAGGCGTCGGGTTGTGATCTCATGGACTCAACTCAACCGGGTTTATATGCACAGTGCTTTGTATGAAATTACGAGAATGTCCTCGCGCAAAGCTTGTCAATGACTAATTTACCCTAGTTTTACAAGGCATTGAAAAAATTGTCCTAGAAGGACCATGTGTTTTGTCCAAAAAAAATTTTCCGGAAGTTTATTTTTTTTTTTTTTGAATTTTGGTGTTAATTATGTTCCTATTACTACTATATATAAAAATATTGAGAATTTTAGGGGTACGAAAGTTAAGATATTGGAAGTGAAAAAATTAATTGTGAATTTACTGTGTAATTACTGCACAATGTCTATAAAAATGACGATTAAACGCACAGTTTTAAATAATTATGATCAATATAATTTCATCTAGGGATGATAAAATTCTATGCTCCCAACGCGCCCAACATTTTTGTGACCCTAAACAGGACGGAGAAGGGAACATATTCCAATCCCGCTTCTTTTTTTATATTTTTATATTATTTCACTTTTACATTCTCAATTTAAACCACAAGTAAATATAAATAAGCAGGAATTTAAACATATTATAATTTTTTTAAAATTACATTCTATACCCTGAAACTGACCTGTATAAATAGGGAGGTCCATTTTATTTTTATTTTTTTGGAGGAATCAAGGGCCCGTAAGCTAGTTGCTCAGTTGGAAAAATATTCTTACCTAAATATGACATGTTAAAGCTATAACACAAATATGATAAGAGTAATATTATTTACAGTGAAATTTATCAGTAGTTGTCCTACGTGGTACACACATAACATTTTGTTATTTGATGCACGAAGTAATAAAAAATTATCACATTAATGCATCAAATAATAAACTGTAATGTGTATATTACATAAAGTAACTGTTGATAATCTTTAATGTAAATAGCATTACTCGTATGATAAATCCACAGAGTAAGAATTAGCTCTTTCACCTTGAGTGCAAAACATTAGGTCCATAATAATGTGCTTTACTCGTGATATTATGTAATGTTGATTTACGTGATATTCTTTGTGGCTCATATGTGCTTCATTATTGGATATTGTGTTCACACATTGTTTTGCGAAGCTCTCTGTCTTGTATTGAACGGCATCCTTTCTAGTTGGAATAATAGTTGGCCTGAACAAAAAAATTGAAAAATTGACCAAATCAATCGAATCGAATCGACTTGGATTAGTTTGGGTCAATTTGACAAAAGTAATTGGTTGGTTTGGTTTGATTTTGATTTTGATTTTTATTTTTTAAAACAAAACAATCGATTCAACCATGGTTTCATGCCTCAAACCGCTAGTTAATCGAATCAATTCAACCCACTTATATGTTTACGTTTTTTTAAGAAAATAAAAATCAAAAGATAAGCCATAATTTCATAACTATATCTCGATTCCTCTCAATATATGGTATTGTTAGTAAATAATAGAACTGGAATTTTTTTTTTCACAAACTTATTATGTTATATTTAACATGTTTTTCCTACTTAGACAATCAAGTTACATGATGCATTAAAAAAAACAACAAAATTCTTAAGTTTTTTATTGATCTGTCTCTATTAACTTGATTTTATTTGTTAGTCAATCGTTCTTGTAATATAAAGTAATTTTAGTTATTGCAATCTAAGTGGGCCCAAAGCGTGTACTTTTTTTCCTAAAAAAAAATCAATTTAAACTAAAAGTCCAAATCTTTTTAAAATATTCAATTTCGACTAAAAGTTCAAACCGACTAATCAAACCAAACACACTTAATTCAATTCAGTTTGGTTTAAGAGTTAGAGTGGATTGGTTCATGTTAAAATTTACCCAAATTGACTAATTTTGTTTTTTTCATTTCAGGTTGGAGTCAAAATCGAGCCACACCAAACCATGCTCCAGCCTAGATAACACCGTGTAAAGCTCTCATGATCTTTGATCTTATATATTGGTTATATATGAGTGAACCATGGACTCAACTGTGATTTGTGCAAGGCTCATGTAAGTCATACGTGTTTGTTGTTTCACATGAATCACAAGTGATCATGTGCGAGGTTTGCATATGATTAATCAATCCTATTGGGAATTTTGGTACGTAATAGAGAGGTTTATAGGACCAAATTATATCGTCTTTGCATGTGCACCACAATACTACTAAACACAGTGTTCATATTTATATTTGGCATTTTTGTTGGGTACACTATAAATAGCTCTAGAAACAATCGAGTATCAAGCTCATATATATTATATCGTTTTGGTAATTATTTTGAGATTATTACATTATTATAATATCTTCAATATACATTATATATGCAATATTAGTTCTTGAAGCTTGAGAGTTACAATGCACAAAGATATTTCAATCACAACAACCTTTAATTCAATGATATTCCAAGTATGTCTACACTTTATAGCTTTTGCCCTCATATTTTTTTCGTTCACTCACCACGTTTAGTTCCATGCGTTATCCTCTCTCTAACTTCATCTCCTATATGTCCCACTCCACTTGCCTTGTGTGCCTTCCCCATACGGTTGGCTCAACTAGTTTAGCGCCCTTAAAATCAATTTCGTTTGTTCTATTTTATTTTTCAAATAAAAATACCAAAAAATCTTCTTCATCTAATTTAAGCAAAAATTTACTTTTATTCAAATTTTGAGATTTGATCAATAAATTGATAATGATAAGCCAACAAGCGAAAATTTTCATACTAAAAAAGTCTTGATATATTATTATTTCAAACCATAAATTTAATTTTAATATAGAATGCTAAATGTTCGAACACTAAGAAAATTGACTAATAAATTTAACATAAAGATGTTTTTCAAATAAAAATTTGGTAATCCCGACCCATAAGCATTATTTGATCAATCCATAGCTAGGCCACACGACCCTTTCTAGTCTAAAATGTTACTGTGAGAGTGAGTATTTTGAAAATACTCAGTAAAAATACGTGCATATTCTTATTAATATGATCTAAATATAAAATGATATAATAGACCAATATTTCTTAGACTTAGAGCAAACTGGTCACGATATACAATAGCTCAAGGAATTTCTTAAGAGTTTCCATATCCAGTAGAATTTACATATTTCACCTAACAATCTACCCTGTAAAATTTAAAATAGAAATCGACCCCCATGCCGTAAAGTACATCATGCAAAAATTTATATAAACTTCAAGAATATAAAAATTTACCAACTTTGCACTGTGTATTTTTACCTCGATCAAACCAAAATAAAATTTGAAAATATGGTTTGTAGAATAATAGTAAAATAAATTATTTCTAATAGATTGTGTGTTGGTAAAATTTGTAGGAAGTGAAGCTGTGTTTTTTTCTAGAAAAATGCCCTCTAATCAGATCACTTACATATGTATAATCCGGCACACTACACGTAACCCCAAGTCACTAATCTTATATTTGAGCCACATAAGAATTCATTTTTATATAATGTAGTAATGAGAAATGTATGGTTAAAAATAAAGAAAATTTTTAGATTTACGTGTAATATTATTTTATTGAAAAATATGTGATTGAAATAATGTCAAATCGCTATTTAAGAATATATTTTTTTGAAAAAAAATGTGGCTCAAGCATAACGTAAAGCGATATTTCAATTTTAACATTTAAATTGTAAACACATTTGAGGTAAATGGAAAATTTATGAGATTTAATTAAATTACTTATTATCAAATTTAATGAACTAATTATGTTATATGTTAAACTATAATATTCTTTTCAAATTTCGATGTAACCGTACTGAATTGAATTGGAAATAAAGTTTTGTTTTATTATTTTATTATTATTTATATTTTGTTTATTAATAAAATATAAAATTTAGAATACTTTCCATCAAAATAATTTGTGTATAACTAATCTAACAATATTTATTCTTGAACCCAATTTATGCTATTTATCACGAGTTACAAAATGAGTATAATATTAATATAATTTGTCAACTTTTTTATTTTTTATTTTTTTATAACCATGGACGTTTGGACCAGCTTAAGCGCGCATTAACTAATCTGAATGGGGCCTGAAGTTTACAATTAGATACTTACCTCAACGGCTCTAAGAAAACTCGAATTGATAATCATTAGGAAGCAAATTCAAGACTGACTTGACCACTAAACTACCCACCAGGGTTATAATTTGTTAACTTCTAAAATACTTAAATATTCAACCCAAATAAATTACAATAAATTCTAAAAAGTACACGTAAGAAAATAAATTCTTTATGCAAATAATCAAGCTGGTTTTATCACTTCAACTTTTGAATTTTAATGTGACGATAAGGTTAGATTTAGACTATTTCATTTGATAAATGACTAACATTAAATTTAGGACCATATGAAAATAGTAAAAAAATTCACTAGGCTCGGCTCACTCGCCTATGGTCTCGGCTCGATCAATTAAGTGAGCCGAGAATGAGCAACTCACGGCCGATTTTGACTTGGCTTGTTGTATTGGTGCCCATATTAGTGAAGTCAGTCGTTCTGTCTCATACTTATTTTCAATCACGTAATCTTTTAAAATTTTATTTTTCAGTTGTTTTGATGACTTTTTTATACTTTCTAATCAAATAAAAAAAATAAGACATTTTTAAATAATCTCATGATAAAAGGTGCAATGAACTTAGATTGAGTTCTTCAATTGTTTATTGGTACAATGCAGACGAGCCATTTAGTGCTTTCTACAATCTAAAAATGTACGAGGAAGAGAGAAAATTAAGCTGCCAAACTAATCAATAGCATGGTGTGTATTTTGTTTTTTTTACAATAAACTAGTCTTTGTCTGTGCAATGCAAAGGTTGGATTATTTTCAACGTAATGTTAGTGTGTTAAATATGTTGGGTTATAATATGTTGTCTTCATCATTTGCATTGATAGGGGATAAAAGAATCATTTATAATACTCTATTGACATATAGAGATTGTATTATAATTAGAATTGTTAGTATGTAATTGTCTAGCTATTTATAAATCAGATGTATAAACATCAAACTATGAGTATTTATAGTATGGAATTCAA